ATTCCAAAGTGGGTGGGTATTCTGATGGGTGATTAGGGAATGCTGCTGAACAGACAGAAAAGAGCAGAAAGAAGTCCTGGAAAAGACTTCCTACTTCCCACAATGCAAAGAGATTTGAGACATGGATAAGAATAGATAAAAATTTACCCAGCTCTCTGCAATATTTCAGAACCTGGCTCTCATGGKTAAAATGATTATAATCACAGTTATTAACCAAGGAAACATTTCCTACTGATGGCTGCTTAATTGCACCTGAGTTACTTAATGTTACCTATATGTGACAAAATATAAAAATTATTTTATATTACTTACATAAAGTTATTAGTCCCCAAATCTCAACCCCTTACCATCATATGGGGATTCATGTGTTGGAGGGTGATGGAGGCATGGTCCCTACTCTGGCAAAGTTGAGGTGCATTTAAGATGGGGGGGGGTTCATTTCTCCAGGAGGTGGTTAGGTCATATACAGGTACTTAATTTATGTTTAAAGTACTTCCGTTAAATGGTATTCACTTTATAAGTCTCATTTTATATTTAAGAATCATTTCATCCTACATTACCCACATCTACTTCATTGTTCAGAAGTAGAGTCAATATTTATTGTACAGTCCCTGCTGCTTATAGACATATGATGTAGACATAAATGATTACTAAGGACAATAAGGGTCTAACTAATTGGGAGCCATTCTGTTTTAATTACCACTGAGTTCATATTTTGACCAAGGCTGTACTATCCATATTGTGGACATAGTTGTTTCATTGAAAAAAGTATTCCCATATCTTGTCTGTTCTTAATTGTTGTGCTTCAGGTTTGAGGGTGTATTTCTTAGATCAATTTTAAAGCACAATTTTTTGTAAGCACAGTCAGTGTGGCAGCTATGAAAGCCACATGAATGGATAAATGAGAAGGAACTTCACCATTAGCTGAGAGATTGCATGTGGAGGCCAGGTCCAGCATGCACACCTTCGTTATTCTCCCTTAAACCCCATCCGTTTCTCACATTTCTCCCTGCAATAACAAAGGACTGGCCTCAGGAGTAAAATAAATGAATGAAATGTCTTTATTTTCACCGCCATTTGGGAGGAACAGTATCCTTTGCATCCAGCACAGTAGGTGCCCTGAGGTGCTGAGCAGACTCTTTGTTGGAATGGTGGGTACCTGTGCTGTAAGGAGGCCAGGCCATGGTCTCACTGAGTCTTTGTGGGCTGYGCTGGAGTACTCAAGGCTTGGATTTCAGTGGGAAATCTTCATATGCCACATGGTAAGTCCAAGCAAGAGTGGGTGCATCTTCCTCTGCTGGCTGCTCAGTTCACATAAGCGCAGGCTTGAGTGTTGATTTTGTCTTGTTTCTTAACTTAGCAACATTCCCTACACTATCTGAGAGTCATGGGAGACATGGATACAAGCCCAGGTGAAGCCTTCATGGAGGGCCAGGCCCCAGCTCTTCCATTTTARGGTCAAAGTTGGCTTCCCAGAGGAGGACTCCTTTTAATGTTATCGGTGGTGAACAGGAGTTTATCAGATGTGAGCTTTACTGGGAACAGATCAGCATGGGGAGCAGACATGTATGAGAATATTTTTTTTTCAATGAAACAACTGTGACTACAACATGGACAGCACAGCCCAGGTAAAGCAAAGACTGGGTCAGTTGTGCTCAGTAGTATTATTGATCTCTGAAGACAAGGACCCAATGTTATTTTTGTCTGTTAGGTCAATGCAGGGCTGATTAGTTGAGTAGAGTCCAATCAATGACCCAATCCTGTCACACACAGGGGTGGTGAGGCCTACAAGACAGTCCAAACATAGTCTCTGAGCCCATGAGGCAGGTCTCACTAAGAAGTGGGTTGTGTGTTGGGTTTGGGGGTGGCCAGGCCCTAGGATTGCACTGTCTCACAAGAGGTGGGGGCTTCTGCATAGTGAAGGCAGACTTCTGTTTTGTGACTTGAGTCCTGGGCAAGGGCTGTGAGAGCCTGTCATCAAACGAGAAGCTCTGGTTTCYATGATCCAGGTGCGTGTGGTTAACAGGAAGGCTTTAGCCCAGATGAGAGTAGGACTAGAAGGCATGTGGCTGGCATCTGATGGAACCACAGAGTTTTGTAACTTGTTCTCAGCGGCCTTCCTTCACCAGAACTAGGCAGCTGAACCTGGGGTACGAGTAAATAGGACCCCAGTAGGGGAGCCGGTGAAGGTAGACTGGGAGCAGGGGACACACTCATGGTAATACTAATTCTAAGCATTGACTCTGATTTTTGAGAAGTGAACAAATCTCTAAATAATCAAATTAGGATTTCTAAATATTTAAGACCATAAAACTCATCATCAGCTTTTTGATAAAATTGCCGAACCTTTAAGAAAATAGTACCCCATTGTGTTTGGCTGCGTTTGAGTGGGTTCCACAACATGGTGTGGAGAAATTGCAGCTCTGAGGTGGTGACCCTAAGAGTTTCCTTCTCAGACCAGGTTCCCTGCCCCCTTCATGAGGGCATGTCCCTCATGGGAAACTGCTACTGGTTCAGGGCCTCCTGCCCAGCTATCTGGGGTCATTTGATTTGTAGTTGCACACTTTGCTCTGTGGTCCTGCTCTTTTCCTGGAACTATACTTATGAACATGACATAGGGTCCATTCCCCCTCCTTTCRAATTCACAGCTAGATAGATGCTTTTTATTCTCTCCCTGGAGTACCGCCAAGGTGAGGGGTAGGAGCTAAGTTGTGCAGCTTTCTGAGAACAGATCCAAATATTTGACCCTCTTTTACCCCTAACCCCAGCCACCTCTACTGCTCTCTATGGGGTCTGGCTTTCTATCTCTAATCCACACCATCTTGGATATCTGACTTGTGCCAAAATYCATTTAGTTGAAGGCTCCAACATGCGATAACGCATACCTCTGACAACTCAAGGTCTCTGCTTTTAATACTCAGAATCTTTTCTTCCTCCTGCTTGCTGTGTATGTCTGCCCTTGAGGCAGAGGTGCTGCAATCTGAATGAGGGAAATGGTAGGAGGTGAAGGTAAATAAGACCACGTGGCAACAGCAACCAAGAGAAACACTAATTATGGTAGCAAAACCCAAAAAACTTTGTTGTGTCAAAAATATTTCCCTAAAACATGCTTTTTTTATATTGTTGTAAGTTTGATTTTAACTTCTAAGACTGTTTTGTAAACCAGGTCAATATTTTGTCCCRGACTGAAGTTTTCCAAAGTTTCCTTTCTTTTCTTTTTCTTTTTTTTTTTCCAAGCATGCATGCACACACATGCATACACATGCACACACAACACACACACAAACACACACATTCACAGACACACAAAAACATACACACAAGTACACATATATTCGTCCTGGCTCCCAGGCAGGTTGACTCTGGCCTAGGGCAAACATACATTTAAACCCAAAGCTTGAATGTATCTGCCAGCATTTAACTGTACCTGTTTGAGCTTCTACTTTATGCAATAACTAGTGTGTTGATCACAGATCACTAGTCTGTCTCAAAATAAAACTTAAAAAGGGCTGGGATGTGGCTCAGTGGGTAAGTCCCCCTGTTTGTTTGTTTGTTTGTTTGTTTGTTTCTGATTTGCATTGCATAGAAGAAGCATCTGTCACATCTGTAGGTGTTACTTGTGTTTTTTGCCCCACAAGTGATATTTGTATCATGTTGTGGTATACACAAGTCAAATGGTGTCTCCCTGCTCCTGAGAAGACAGGAAACATGGCTTCACAAACCTGTTTCACATGATCATTGTATTTCAAAGTGCAGCTTTCAATCTACGGTGTCTACTTCTGATGGCCAGGACTCTATGTGCTGTTTTTGCCTTGTCCTGGGTCAACCCAGATCAGAAATTACCCAATGTTTCCAGGAAATAAATTATGCACACTGTACCCTGCACTGCTGCAGGAGGGCTCAGTTGGCAGTTACTGCAGTTCCTGTGCGATCTCTTCAGGAATGGCCGTTGTGCTTGACTTGTCTGGTGTCAAAAGGTAGAGTTTAGGCCAATACCTAGAGAGTCCAGAGGCAGATGGCAGCCTAATATCTAGAACAGCATAACACTGGATGCTGGAAGGAAATATCACCCRGGGCCTTGGAGGAAAGTGGAACTGCCGTGGGATTACAGTCAGGAGCCCCAGGTGGAACCAAGGCTCAACCCCTTAGGAAATTTCTGCTGCAGACAAAGTTGCCTAATACCTCTGAGTCTGAGTTTCCTCATCAAAAATAGGGCCAGTAATTGTAGTAGAGTTGTGTTAGCATTAATGAATTCAGACATAACTTTCATACAGCCCCTCACAAGAGGCTTGGCCCATTTTCTCCTCCTTTCACCTCTTTCCTGCCTTCCCTGTTCTAGTGTGTTCATAACCAGAAACCTTGGAAATGCTCCATGCTAGGTTGGGCGGTGACTTGCCAGGGCTACAGAAGAGGGATTATTCATGATGAATGGCTGGGCCAGAAATCAGGAGCAATTTATTATTTGATCAATCTTTCAAAAAAGCAAAAGCATTTTTTCAAAAGGCGGCTAATAGAGAAGCCCAGTCATTACATGACTAAGCACTTTAGATGCTCTCTCTCRTTGGATGTGAGAGCCATGTGTCCCCAGTGAATGGATGTGTACATACAGTGACCTGCTAAACACCCAAGGTGTCTATGTCCACACTTGGAAAACTGCTGGACATGTCAATTTTTTTTTTAATATTCCTAAAACAGCCAGGCTCAGTGGCACAGGCCTGTGATCATAGTGATTTGGGAGACTGAGGCAGGGGGATCATGAGTTCAAAGCCAGCCTCAGCAACTTAGTGAAACCCTGTCTCAAAATAAAACATAAAAAGGGCTGGGTATGTGGCTCAGTGGGTAAGTCCCCCTGGGTTCAATACCTGGTATTGAATATATATATTTCCCCCCAAAACATTTGATGTCTGATGTCTTTACAGAAAGTTTAGGAGAATAAAAATATGACCTCATAAAGCACAGCTTGAGGGAGATATGATCTGACCGGTGGACTTGTGTTTCAGGTGTCTCCATGTGAGAGGTGCCGCTGTGAAGCCAACGGTGAAGTGCTCTGCACAGTGTCGGCTTGTCCCCAGACAGAGTGTGTGGACCCCGTGTATGAGCCTGACCAGTGCTGTCCCATCTGCAAAAATGGTATGTGGAATGCCTGTCGGTGACAGGGTGCACCTCTGAGTCCACCATGCATTCTACTCTCTRCTTCATGGTAGAAGGAACGTGTACGGATATCTGAGCTTAAATAGAAGTGTCCACACACGCACAAGCATGTGTATGTGACCTTCAGGTCACAGGGTATGGTTGGGACTTGCTGTGTATCAAGGCATTCCCTGTCTTATTGGTGTCAGCCCCATTTTTATGGATGTTAAGAAATTCTTAGGGAAGAAATTCAATTTCCACTATCAAGGAGAGTCACTTATTTTAATTTAGCTTTGTTTGTTCTTGCAAAGCTGTTTCTTTCTTTCCAAGACAAATCAAACATGCTGGTTGAGCTCATTTACTTTTCATTACTAAGTGAATTAAACTTGGAACATAATTGAATATTTTTCATAAGCAAATTAGGCAGGGAGAGAGACCCCGGTTCTCAGGAAGAGCCAGTGGTTGATCAGAAGCCATGCCTGCTTCATGAAAAGAAATGGCAAGATGCCCTTAGTGCTGAGTTACCATGGACAGGGATTTCTTTTTCTGAATAACTAGGATTGTCTGTACCTGAGTCACTGGGTATCATTCTCCACGAGGGAATATAATGAGAGCCAGAATGGGTGAGAAGTATGGCTCAAGAGGGAGATTTGGCAAGGAGAAGAGAGTACCTTGGAAGAGAGCAGAATCAGGAATCACAGCTGCCATCTTCAGGATCCGATGGTTGTGTGTGACAAGAGGGTCTGGGTCTCCTAGATGTCGACACATGGTGTATGCTTCTGGTACTCTGTGTGGGAGCATTTTGGGCTAATTTGTGTCCTCTGCCTGCTGGACCAAGGCTTGATGACTTTGTGATAATGGGCTTTGTAAGTTGCAGACAAGCTCTGGGAGCATGGTTTACACAGGTGTTAATGGTGTCCTCGGCAACTCTGTGAATCTGCAATCATGCCAATCATACATGGATCGGGAAGTACCGTGGAAGTCTTTGACTGGGTACATACACCCAAATTGCACCACAAAGCATTGTAACACACTTCAAATATGTAAGCAAATCAGGAAATGAAATAGCTTTTGAGAACAGACTTGTCAAAGCATGACTGTTGTAGTAGGAATGCAATAATTACCAGGTTGCCATGTGTATAGTCCTCTGAATGTAAGTGGACAGTGACCAAAGAAAAATGACACAAAGTGTAATTCATGAGGGGTTGGCTGTTCTTTAGTGCATGTTTATTATGAAGAAACCATGAGGATAATTCCATAAAATGAGAATGTGAAACTTTGGACATAGAGTATGTTCTTTTAAAAAATGATGTTGAAAAATTACAGTAAGGTAGAGGGGACATCAATACAGTTTATATTACTAGCATAAATTGGTAATAATGGGGTGGGGTGGAGTTTGGGAAGGAGAAGCAGGTAGAGGCCAGGGGAGTCTCCTTGGGATTGGGATGTGGCAATACAGCGACACTGTGAAGAGTTGGCCTACACCTCAGGACTGTTGGGAATGGTGAAGATAGGATTCTCATAGAGTTCCCTGTGTGGAGAACTGGGACCAGAGAATAACTCCTCATTGAGTCAGATGAGATTTAGCTAATGATTTAAACACTGGTGGCTGAAATACTTGGCATTTTAAGTGCCCAAAATATTTCATACTTTTCTTGGTTAGTTATGGTTAGAAACCAATTTTGGCATTAAAGAGTCATGGATGGAATCCTGATTTGGAACAATAGGTAGGAAGTCAGAATTTCAGTCCTTGGGTCTGTTTTATCTGCCTTTCCCAGAAGAAAAATTTCAGACCAATGGAAAAGCTGAAATAATTCTACAATGAGTAATTATATACCCTTCTCTATATTTGCCTCTTGTTGATGTTTAGCCATATTTACTTCCTTTGTCTTTTCACCTCACAACCCAGCTCTGAAAACCAGTACCATCAGTGTATTTACTCGTTTGTTCTGTCCCATAATATGCAGAGTCATTTCTGTTTACCCTACCACCAACATGAAACCTAACCAGTAGAGATCAAGAGTTCTTTGCAATTCTTTTATCCTAGTTAAGGTACAGAGTCAGAAAATATTTGAATTAATTCTTTGTCATGTTAAAATTTATGAAGATATAATTTTTTTCTGTTTGCATTCAACTTTTGCATCATTTAAGGTATCATTTTACTTATTTATTTATAGGTACTGGGGATTGAACCCAGGGACAGTCAATCTCTGAGCCATATCTTCAGTCTTTTTTTTTTTTTAATTTGATTTTGAGACAGGGTCTTGCTAAGTTGACCAGACTGGCCTTGACCTTGGAATCATACTTCCTCAGCTTTTCAAGTCACTCTGGATTATAGGTGTACACTACCATGCCTGGCAAGTATTTTTTTTGTGTGTAGGCAAAATGTGTTTGAAAATGTGTTTTATTATTGGATTGATGGTTTAGGAAGAGAGTAGAAGGCAATCCACCTTGATGATAAACTTCCAAGTGTTCACCCTTCACCTCTATAGTTTGAGAAACAGCACAGGTCAAAATTAGACATGGTTTTTAGGGCGACAGTTGAGAGATTTCTTAGAAGGATGAATATTTTTAAACTAGGTTTATATTACATAAGGCTTTGTATTAAGAGACTTGAGCCCATTTTATCAAAACATCCACCAGTTTTTATTTTCAAGACTACAACTAAAAATAAGTTGGAATGTATTTAATTATGTACATATTTTGAAATTTTGTTCTGTTTACCAGAGAGAACTTGGCTTTAAGCTGTATCCAGTTGTCRGGTACTCTGACTTTGATGGGTCAAATCAAGTGTAGAATTTTGAGCAAAAGTGATTTGCTCAAAAATGAAAGCCGATTCTGTCAGAAGTGAATGCTCTGTAGTAATGGACTGAGGTTAATGAATAATTTACAGTAGTCCAACCTTGACACCACACACACACACACACACACACACACACACACAAATAATGTTTTTATAAAAAAGATTCTATCTGAATATTGAAAATTAGAATACATCAAAAAGAAAGAAATGCTTTATATGAAATTAAATTCGAGGATAGAATTAGCTTGGATGAAGTACCAAGGTTCTAACTCTTGATCTCTGCAGACCAGCCTCTCCTCCTCATTTCTTGACCTATGACATTAAATAGCTTTTTCTCCCAATCGAAGGAAAATTACAGTTCACTGTGAGCTGCCAAAGTCCCTTGCATCAAAGGAGCAAAAGTTTGAAATGAAGAATGTCTTGAATATAAATAAATGATCACAAATCAAATACAGTTTAATATATTCACTTTGCTGACTTGTGTAGATCAGTCTCCCAAGGTTTTTCTTTTGATAAAATGGATGTTCTGTGGTTGAGTTTGTTTGGGTTTTTTTGTTTGTTTTGTTTTGTTTTATTCTCTTTTTCTTCCCGCACAATGATGTAAACAGCAAGTATCATATTGACTTTCAAGGATTCAGGTTTTCTCTGGTGATTGATGTACTTCAGAAGTTCACAGCACCCTTTCCATTTAAGCCCCTGGGTCTCAGATGTGCTTGTCAGCATTAAGTAGGCCTGAGGTTCCCATTAGTGATCAGTAGGCCTCCCTTTGGCATGTGTACAGCCATCTTACTTTATGGATACCAAGGAAGAGAACCGATAAAAAGCAGGAATCGGTGGTGTAGTATGAATGCCGTGTTAGCTATGCATCTCAAAGGCAGAAGATGGTACCTAAGGGGCGTGTGATGTATACCAGCAGCACAAAGGCACTAGATACAAAGATTACATCTCTCCCAAAGGTCTCACTGCTACTTGATGGTAGTTATTTGAAGCTTTATTTTCATAGGAAAATAAATATAGCTGTTTGGGGGAGGAAAATAAAAAACATTTATGAAAAGGATAAGATGAACAATGAGCTTTCAAATGAGTAGWTGTACTGCTATGGAAATTATGTGAGACGCACTGACTGAGAATTAAGCAAGAATTTTCTTTCGGTTGTTTGTTTTCTTGTGTATCTCAGAGAAGGATAAGTTCATAGTTAAAATTCATGGAGTGAGTTCAACAAAACCAAATGGGATGCTTATGGGTGGGTGTGGGTATGTTTCAGATSAAGATTCTCTCATAAAAGCCCCCTCGAATATGGCCTTACCATGGAATACTTCCAAAATTTTCACCAAGGAAATAATATCCTATCATAAAGAAACGCTCATCATTATTTACAGATGATATGATTGTGCCCATAAGAAATAMAGGAATTCCCAAATATCAAAATAAATAGTTAATTGTAGTAAGGTTTTTTAGCAATGTTTAAAAAAAAGCTGTATTTCTATATGAGCACAAAAAATGTAGAAATGCATTAAAAACTACAGTTTCAAATAACATTATGTATATTAGATTAAATAAATCCGACTAAATTTTGTAAGATCACTACAGTTAAAAATCATAAAAGTTTTATTGAGAAATTCAAGAATCCCTGAGGAAATGGTGACATACAACATATTCACAACAGACTCAATAATGTAAAGAAGTCAAGCTGATTCAAATTTATCTATTGATTGAGCGCAAGTCCAGTAAAAAATTTTAATGATTATTATTAAATTTTTTTGTGCATGGAAAATACTAGATTGGTTCTAAACTCCAAATGGGAATATAAGAGTTAAAAGTAGCCCAGTGAAAAATTGAAAAAACAGTAAGCCTGGAAAGTGTATATGACGAGAGAGATTAAGACTCAAAGTCACAATAAGTAACATACTGCAATATGGTCTAAAAGACTGACAAATGGAGCAGAATTGAGTTGAAAAGAGCTGTGTATGTAAGATCAGCAGCTTTATGTCTAAGCTGATACTGCAGGATAGTAGGCAAAAGAGTAGTCATTCCAATGATTGGTGTTCAACCACAAATAGGTAAATAAATTCCCTACAGATTATAGATTTAGATATTAAGGCTAATACAATAATGCTTTTAGAGGAGAACATCTTCATGATTTTGCCTAGATGATGATTAATTTTAAAAGAACACTAAAAGGATGGGTGTGATGCTA